GGGGGAGAGAGGAATAGTAGGTAGGAGAGAGGGGGTGGGTAGAAAGAGGGAGAGGAGAAGAGGGAAAGTGGAATGGTGGGGAGAGGAAGTGGAGGAGACGGATGATGAGAAAATGATGGGAGAGAAGGTAGAAAGAGGGCTTGGAGAAACAGAGGGAGAAGGTGAGGGAGAGGGGGGCGGAGGGGTGAGGGAGGGGAGGAGTGTATTGAGGGAGAACTTGTCCCTCTCCAGGCGGGTTTACTCCTCCCTCCTTTACTCGTCTCTCCCTTCACCTCTGACTCTCTCCCTTCCTTCACCACTCTCTCCCCCTCCCTCACTTAAAGTCTCACACACACACACACATTTTTACTTCAGTTACCGTCTTGTGGCTAGTCCGAGAGGGAGGATGGTAGAGGGGGAGGAGAAGGTGAAGAAGGGGGACGTCCGTAGAGGAAGTCTCTCTCTCTCTCCTCTCTCTCTCTTCTTCCTGCTCCCCTCTTTTTCCCCTTAACCTTTGACCCTTCTTGGTTAAGTTGTTATAAGCCTTTGTTTACACTATGGCCAGACCTGCACACTGTTGACCACGCCAGGAAGGTGAGGGGAGAGGGAGGCTGGCTGGCGTGGGCGGATGTGCATCGTGCTATGTTGGTCCGCCTGTTCCCTCCCTATACCGGTAACAGTGTATAAATAACATTAATATTTGAAGGAATAAAACTCAAATTTCTGGCCATTTTGAAGTTTTTGTAAGTTCTTGGTAGGAAAAAGTAAACACCTCCTAATACCGGACTAATTCTTGCAAGCCATGTTCGTTATTGGGAGGATTCCGTTATTGAGAAGTTAATATTGGGAGGGTTTACCTGTACTTTATTGAGAATTAAGGTATTGGGAGGGTTTACTGTATCCATTACTATATTGAAAAGTCCGGTATTGAGAGGACTTATTGCATTCATTCCGTTATTGAGAAGTCAGCTATCGAGAGGGTTTACTGTATCCATTAATTTATTGAAAAATCCGGAATTGAGAGGACTTATTGCATTAATTCCTTTATTGAGAAGTCAGCTATTGAGAGGGTTTACTGTACCCATTAATTTATTGAAAAGTCCGGTATTGAGAAGGTTTACTGTACATATGTTCCAAAACCAGTGGACGACGAACACTACTCACAAAAACACCAACCGGATTGACTCTAAAGGTAAAGATACTTGGGGGGCTGTATCACTTGGTCACATCAGCACCCTCTCTCCCTCCCTCCCTCCTTCTCTCCCTCCTCCCTCCTTCCTTCCCATCCCTCCTCCTTCCCATCCCTCCCATCTCTCCTTCTTTCCTCCCTCCCTCCTTCCTTCCTTTCCTCCTCCTCCCTCCCTCCCTCCCTCCCCCCTCCCTCCCTCCCATCCTCCTCCTTCCTTCCTTCTTTCCCTCCTTCCTTCCTTCCCTCCCTCCCTCCCTCCCTCCTCCTCCTCCCTCCCTCCCTCCCTCCCCTCCTCCTCCCTCCTCCTCCCTCCCTCCTCCCTCCTCCTCCCTCCCTTCCTTCCTTCCTTCCTTCCTTCCTTCCTTCCTTCCTTCCTTCCTTCCTTCCTTCTGTTACCCCGAGATGGTCACAGTATCAGGTTGATTAGTACGTGCCAAGGTAGAAAAATTCTCTCTAGTGTCCTTTAAAGCTGGGTCGTTTAAATGGTAGTCTTCCCCCCCCCTCTCCACTAATCCCTCTACCCCTTCCTTTCCTCCTCCCATCCCCTAGTCCCTCTACCCTCCTCTTCCATCTCCTCCAACTCCTGCATCACCCCCTCCTCTCAATCAGCTCCTCACTTCTTCAGCACTTCTTCTTCCCACCTCCTTCAGCACCAGCCTAACACCTTTCCTCCTTCCTCCCCTCTCCTCCCCTCCCAGCCCCCTCCCTCCCAGCACTCCCTCCTACCCCCAGCCCCCTCCCCCCAGCGCCCCCCTCCCTCCCAGCGCCCCTCCTCCCAGCGCCCTCCCCTCCCAGCGCCCCTCCCCTCCCAGTGCCCCTCCTCCCAGTGCCCCCTCCCACCCCCTTCATTAACAGTACAGGTCATGTGCGGTAACTAATGTACCTTGTGGCGGGGAGTTATTGAACTCCACTGTACAGGTTCACGAACGTCTTGGTGTAGTACATCTTGGGTGTGTACGTACGTCTTGTTGTGCGTCGTCGTGCGTCTTAGATCTTGACGTATATATTTTCGAACGACTTTGTGAGGATTTTGAATTAAGGCTCCAGCTGTGTTGTGTGTGGGGGGGTTGGGCAGGCCAACGTTCTTTCCAAGATATTAAATGTTGTCTCACATACCTGCCTCTTGTTGTATGGAAATGTTGACAATATACAACAACGTAGAGTATGTTAATTCTCTCTCTCTCTCTCTCTCTCTCTCTCTCTCTCTCTCCTCACATCAATCTGGTCTTAATACACAGTAGAACAAGGGCGTGAAGCACCTCTTTTGACTGGCTGTTAATTGTATCTTTTGTTTACACGAATAAAATAGGATCATCGTAAAATAAAAGCCATGATTCTAATATCCAATAAAACCTCGATTTAACGGACTAGACTGAGAGGAATGTCCGTTTTATCGAGGGTGTGTTAGTATGAAACCTCGATTTAACGGATTTATATGGAGAGAGAAAGTATGTTATATCGAGAGTCCGTTATATGGAAAAAAATCCGTTATATCTAGGATTCACTGGTAATACTAACTCTAATCTAAGTATTCTCCTACGATAACCTTATTTATGGATTTCTATTAAATATTTTTTTGTGTGTTTGTGAATGATGGCGATCGTTGTGTTGTTAACGGGGTGTTTGGAGGTTAATGAACAGTAAGGTGTGTTGTTTAGGGGGAAGATCTGTTTGTATTGTGTTAGAGTGTGTTGTGATGGGAGTGTGTTGTTATTGGAGTGTGTTGTTGTGATAAATTGTGTTATGATAGAGTGTGTTATTCAATGGAGTGTGTTGTGATGGGAGTGTGTTGTTATTGGAGTGTGTTGTGGGCTTTGGTTCTGTGTTGGTTGTGTTGGGTTGGTTTGTTGTTGTTGTGGTTGTTGGGTTAGGTTGGTTAGGTTAGGTTGGGTTGGGTTAGGTTAGGTTGGGTTGGGTTGGGTTAGGTTGGGTTGGTAGAGGGGAGGAGAAAGGAAGGAAAAAGGAAGAGTTAAAGAAGGAGGAGGAGGAGAGAAAAAGTGGAGGAGAACACACACACACACACACACACACACACACACACAGAGGAATATGTTAATTAATTTTTCAGACGGGTGTTGGGCATACGCACGCAGATGGTCGACCACGAGTCTATATTATCAGGTAGAGGGATTCACACCTGTCTCGCTGCCCTGGTGAGAGAGACGTAGATGTTAAGAAACGCATTCGAGAGACAAGCTGGAGATGATTGCTGTAAAAAGACGTCCCCTATAAGACGACCCCTACCCAGCAACAAAGACCATGGTCCCTGGGTGGTCAAAGGCGGAAGTCAGGTCAGGTCAGGTCATCTCGTCAGGTAGAGAAGAAGAAAAAAAAAACTCGAAGAAAGACAAAAGAGAATCAACTTGAGTTATTTCCTACAGACTTAAAATTGGTTTCACTGTCCACACTTACGTACAGGTCGACGATACTTGACGTTGTTCAGCAGGAGGAGGAGACAATATTGATAAACTTGGTGTGTGTCTGTCTGTCTGTCTTTGTTTTCTCTCTCTCTGTCTGTCTTTATCTGTCTCTATTCCTATCTCTTTTTCTCTGTGTATCTCTGTCTCTCCCTCTCTTCCTTTCTTTGTCTGTCCCGCTGTCTGTCTTTCTCTTTCTTCTCTCTCATGCCCTTTCTTTCTCTTTCTCTCTGTGTCTGTCTCTCTTCCTCTGTGTGTGTGTGTGTGAGCTTTTTTAAGCTGTGTCAATTTTATGCACAAAGCTCTTTGACAGCCTGCGATCGACTACCTCCTCTCCTCCTCCTCCTTCTTCTTCTTCTTGCACCCCTATCTTCGCCTCTCCCCTCCGTCTTTCGCCACGCTTCCTTCCTCTCCTCTCCCTTCCCTCTCTCTTCTCCTCTCCTGATAAGTATCTGGATGGGGACACATGTGTAGAGATATTCTCTTCTATTTTATTTTTCTTGAAGACTTTTGTATGTCTCGTCAACCCACCCAGCGCTTCCCCAACCCACCCAGCACTTCCCCAACCCACCCAGCTCCTCCCCAACCCACCCAAATCTTACCCCAACCCACCAAGCTCTTCTCCAACCCACCCAGCCCTCCCCCAACCCACCCGACTAGCTACAAATAAGCCAGTGTTAAGCACCTGTTAGGCAATACATAATGTTTGCACTGGGGGTGAACACAACAACAAAGAAACAACTATCTTCCTGTTAGCGAGGCAACACAACACTCACGGTGCATGTAAACAAACAATCCTGGAATGTTGTGATTTTTTCGCGCCTTTTTTTCGTGCCAAATTTTTCCCGCTATTTTTTGTGCTTTTGTTTTGTTTATGCATGTTGTTTTTGAGTTTAATAGTTGGTCTCTATTCACTAGGAAGAATAAAAATGCTAGTTGGGGGGAGTAGTAGTTTATTGTGGGTGGTTGGGTGTTTTAGGGTGATTAGCTTGTTGGTATTTCTTAACATGTACGGGACGCGTTTGGGTTTATGCTATTTTCACTACAGGTTTATGATACAACGTGTTCGTAAATCTTGGTTTTGTTGACGTCATTCGTGTTGAGGAGTAACAGGTTGTCGAGTCTTTCCTTACCTACGTCACGTCTCTCTCTATATACAGCAGTTCGTTAGGTGGGGGAGGTCACATCTAATGAACACTCAGATATAACGGACTTTCATATCTCAATAATTCGTTAGATGGAGATTTCATATATAACAAACCTTCGATATAACGGACTTTAATCTGAATAATTCGTTAGATGGAGGTTTCATATATAACGAATCCTCGAGTATAACGGACTTTCCTCTCGATGTAGTCCGTTAAATAGAGGTTTCAGTACTGCATTTGGTAATTAACCTGTTGGGGGCTTCTTACCTGGGGAGTTCTTGGGTTTGAACGCCTTCTTGAACGCGGCGATGGCCTCGTCGTTGAGCGTTGAACAGTTCCATCGTCGGGTCCGGAACTGGAATTGACACTCGTCGATGGCCCAGATGGCACCCCTCTTGACGGAGTCCATGAAGGCCGGGTTGTCCTTACAGAAGCGGACCTGCTGCCTCACCAGAGACCCCTTGAAGGAGTCGCAGAGTTGGTTACTGGCCGGCGCCGTCACTGCCAAGGTGGTCACTCTTGATAACGCCCTGGCAAGATAGGGAGAAGAATCCGGGTGAGATACAACCCCTGAGGAACACCACATGAGTCCTACTTGAGTCATACTTATAATAATAAACTACAAGTAATGAAGACACGAGACATTCATACAATCAGTACAAAGTGAATAATGTTGACACTTGGTATTTTGTAGAATGTACTAAGTGGACACCAGGAGGACCCCACCCCTAACCCCCCGAGGCCTTACCAAATATTTACTGGCCAGACTTAAGTAAATTCAAATTAGTCGTTTGTAAGAATAATAAAACGTAAATGATGAAGACACTTTGAGATTTTTAAATTCATAAAATATACTTGTATTATGGAGGGAAGAGCTCAAGATAAACTTAGTCATTTGTGAAGTTAAGTTGACTGTAAATTATGCACACACACTCCAGCTCAGGTGAATATTTACTCCGAGTTAGACATAAATGACGTGCTTGTTGAAGATCTCAGGTAGGAGCAGGTAATGTATTAGAGGCTCAGGTGAATTATCCATATCTGAAAGTTTGTTTGGGAATAGGTGAGTTATATCATAGTATCTGTAACAATAAAAATGATGATAATAGTAATGATAATAGTAATGATGATGATGATGATGATAGAATGAGTAAAAATAATTGAAAACAAACTCTGATGAAACACACACACTCACTCACTCACTCACTCACACACACTCACTCACACACACACACACACACACACACACATACACACACACACACTCACTCACTCACTCACTCACTCACACTCATGTAAACAAACACTCAGACAAAAGGTGTACCCCAAGTGTCCTTCTCACTCAGACATGAACAACACTTGCCGACACATTCCCTCCTTTGGGCCACGATTCCCGAACATCCCTAAGGTAATTTTCTCTCGTCTGTATTGTCTAGTTAAGGTAGATTGTTAGTGAGACTCGACCCACTATCATTATGCTGTAGGTGAGGTTAGGTCGGGTTGGGTTGGGTTAGGTTAGGTTAGGTTAGGTTAGGTTAGGTTAGGTTAGGGTAGGTTAGGTTAGGTTAGGTTGGGTTGGGTTGGGTTGGGTTGGGTTGGGTTGGGTTGGGTTGGGTTGGGTTGGGTTAGGTTAAGTGACCCTGTTAGATCCCTTATGGGTAAAATTGAATGTAAGAATCACCGAGAATTGTAGTTTTGTTTTGTACCTTAACTGAACGTGATAGATGGGATGTTATGTTCCGTTCGCAAAACAATAATAATGATGTTAATATGAACGTTTAGTAAGCCAATAGAGAGGTAAACAAAACACTACAACACAACACAACACAAGAGGCATCAAGAGGAGCCAATACTCAGGTGGGTCAGGTAACAATAGTTCATTAATACAGGTAGGTGATGATGGCAAGATAAGGTGCACTACACAGGTGGATGGCTGACTGGCTGGCTGGCTGGTTGGCTGGCAGGTTGACTGGCTGGCTGGTTGACTGGCTGGCTAGGTCCTGCAATACGCAAGTCACTGACGCCTACTTGGTGGTAATTAACGCCGGCGTCCGTGTTATACCTGCCCTAGCAACACCTGTCCTTAATGAAGTGTTGAACAAGGTGTAACTACTGTACGTGGAATAATAGTCATTGTTGGTATTAATGAAGTTGTTAGATTGGGCTTGTTTAATGGTGTTTTACGTACGCGAACACACACGCAAACACACAATTTTTTCACAAACTTTAATTTTCCCACAGAACCCTTAATTTTCCCACGGTTCGATCATAAGTTCTCTTCATGGCGCACTTGATAATATTCCCACGCTCTACATGTTCTTCCCACAGTGGTAAGTGTTCTCTCTCTCTCTCTCTCTCTCTCTCTCTCTCTCTCTCTCTCTCATTCTCTCATCAGCCCTAACAATGGTCCAGATGGTACTGTCATCATCATCATCATCATCATCATTATTATTATCATCATTATTATCATCCACCACACACACACACACACACACACACACACACACACACATACACATACACACACACACACAGCCCCTACACACCCTCTCCCCTTCCCCCCCAAACATCACCTGTAGATTGTCACGAGTTGCGAGTCACAGGTGAGGTAATTAAGGGGAGTGTCGTCACCACCCTCACAATGGTCTCACACCCCCCTTTACAGGTAGACATCAGGGTCGTGACCTACCTGCCGTTCGTTCACGACTCTCATGTCAGTTAATGAAGCTGACCGGTCTAAAAAATAAATAAAAAAAAAAAAAGGGAAAAAAAAATCGCTCTCTATCTTTATCTCACCATTTCCCTACCCTCCCCCCTATCTCACCTCTAATCTCATGCCCTTCACTACCTCGTCTCTCATGCCCCTTCACTGCCTCGTCTCTCATGCCCTTCACTACCGTCTCTCATGCCCTTCGTCTCTCACGCCCTTCATTACTCACTACCTCGTCTCTCATGCTTCCCTCGTCTCCTTACCCTTCACTACCTCGTTTCTCATGCCCCTTCACTACCTCGTCTCTCATGCCCCTTCACTACCTCGTCTCTCATGCCCCTTCACCCTTCACTCCTCGTCTCTCCATGCCCCTGCCCCTTCACTACCTCGTCTCTCATGCCCCTTCACTACCTCGTCTCTCATGCCCCTTCACTACCTCGTCTCTCATGCCCCTTCACTACCTCGTCTCTCATGCCTTCACTACCCCCTACCCCTTCACTACCTCGTCCTCTACCTCGTCTCTGCCTCCTCGTCTCTTATGCCCTTCACTACCTCGTCTCTCATGCCCCATCACTACCTCGTCTCTTATGTCTCCTGCCCCTCTACCTCGTCTCTCATGCCCTTCACTACCTCGTCTCTCATGCCCTTCACTGCCTTCACTCTGTCTCTCAATGCCCCTCCACTATCTCGTCTCTCATGCCCCTCCACTATCTCGTCTCTCATGCCCCTTCACTACCTCGTCTCCCATGCCCCATCACTACCTCCTCTCCCATGCCCCATCACTACCTCCTCTCCCCATACCCCTTCCTCCTCCCTCCATGCCCCACCACTGACCACTCTTACACCCTCACACTCCTGTACAGAATTTAACAAAGACTAAGTTTAAAATTCTCTGTAACATACAATACCATAATATCCTGACCTCTGGGGGATTAATTATACACACCCTTTGTGACCTCTAACTCTGTAATCCTTTTTCTTCGCTACCGTTCGCAGGATGAGTATGGGGTGCACAATAAACTAGCCGTTGAAAGTGGGGAAGCAAAAAATTACCTTCTGGCAGTGAGTCTCCGCTGTTTCAATGTAGTATTCGAGCCATCACACACACACCGCTGTGTCACCCCGAGATTGGAACCGTCTCCCGCGGTACAATATGAGACAGTGCACAAGACGGTCACCTCAACTATCAGCTTAATTATCCATATATCAGAGCCAGCTGTCACCCCGCTACCAGTACACACACACACACAGAGGCCTAAGTCGTGGCTGGTTCGTGGTTGATTAGCGGTTGGTTCGTAGTATAGTTCTGTGGTCTGTTCGTGGTTGGTTCGTGTCTGGTCCAAGAGTAACAGCTATATCTTGGTCTATCACCAGCGTCATAGCTAACCTAACCTAACCCAGCCTAACCTAACCTAACCTAACCTAACCCAACCTAACCTAACCTAACCTAGCCTAACCTAACGTAACCCAGCCTAACCTAACGTAACCCAGCCTAACCTAACCTAACCCAGCCTAACCTAACCTAACCTAACCCAGCCACAACCTAGCATGGCCCAGCCCTGCCTAGCAGCCTAACCCCACAACCTAACATGAAAACCCAGCCTAACCCCAACGTAACCCAGCCTAGCCTAGCAGCCTAACCTAACCTAACCTAGCAGCAACCCAGCCTAACCTAGCATGCTTAGCCTAACCTAGCAACCCAGCTAACCTAACCTAGCAACATGGCCCAACCTAACCCTAACCTAACGTAACCCTAACCTAACCTAACCTAACCTAACCCTAACCTAACCTAAAAGACTAATATCTTGGACGTGTAATTTACACAGTCTAAAAGTGACCTAACCTGTTGTACCACTTTTCACTAGGGATAGTGCAGTCTTATATCTGTGTGTGTGTGTCTATCTGTCTGTGTGCCTGTCTATTTTTGTCTGTCTCTTCTGTTTTTCTGTGTCTGTCTACCTGTTTCTGTCTAGCCCTGTGTCTGTCTTTCATTCTGTGTATCTGTCTGTCCTTTTTCCTGTGTATATCTGTCTGTTTTTTCTGTCTCTCTGGTCGTCATGTTCTCTCCTCTCAACATTTCACATCCAACTCGTCATCTCCTTCAACACTCATCAACATTCAACAGACTCGTGAGGTGACGGGAGGAATGTTTACTCCTCTGTTGAATCTTCCCCAAACATTTTAACCACTGAGTTCTTTTACATTCGAGTGTTTAAATGTCAAAATACTGTGACTGAGCGAGTCTTACTAATGGGGTTGTGATGGAGCGAGTCATACTAATGGGGTTGTGACAGAGGGAATCATACTAAAGAGGTTATGAAAGCGCTAATCACACTATCGGGGTTATTAACAGGGTGGGCCAAAAAACTTACGTATATGTGTAAGGAAAAAAACAAAAAATCTTATCTCTTATAACTTACTACAGCTTGGTTCACCTGGCCAGTCTAGCTAATAATTTAAGGTACAGGTGTAAAGACAATAATAACCTGAATTATTATTAACCCGTTCCATTTCTCACTAATAATAGTAATAATAGTATTAAAACAAATTACTGTTCTTGTTATTCTTATTCCTCTTAGTAGTAGTAGTAGTAGTAGTTGTTGTTGTTGTAATAAAATGGCGGCGAAGGTGTGACCATTGGTGGAGACTGGAGGCCACGTAACATAAGAACATAAGGAGTCTGCAATAGGTCGGTTGGCCTGTGCATGGCAGCTCCTGTCGAGAGTTACTACCACTCTCTATCATCCATGAATCTATCTAGCCTCCTTTTGAAATTTTCCAGCGTTTGAGCGCTTACTACAAAGTTGCTAAGCTTG